TTGAACTTGCAAAGTTTCATCCTGCTTGGTCTTGAAAAAAGGTATAGGGTTGGCCCCTATCGGTTTTGCAAGGTTCTGATCAAGAAAAACAAAGAAATACTTCAGGAGGCTCATGACCAAAGTATGGACCGGAAGTTTTGTTGGATGCTCACATAAACTTGCCGGGGAAGCGGAAGCAAAGATGCTTTTCTGCACGGCAAGAACAAAAAAGCCACTATTGGTTACTGGAAAACTATTGACCTCTGCAGTGACCTCTGCAGCCTCCGCAGTGACAAGGCAGATCTCACTCAAACGTTTAAGTTGACCTGCAATCTTCCATTCTGCGGCAGCCGAGTGGGGCTCTTGCGGATCTACTTGAAGACAGTAACACGGCCTCTCTCACTTACGCTCGTGTAGGCACAATGTAGCAGTGTCTGCTCAAAGGAACTCAAAGGTAGGATCAACCAGGAAAGAGGTGACAAGACATGAGTCACTCATGCTGCTTGGCCTTGCAGTTGGGGGACTATAAAAGTCACAAATACTCAATCGTAACAAGCGAGTACATATGGGCAAAGCAAGACGAATGAGACAGCTTCTAACTTCTAACAATTCTGTACCACGCTCGTGTAGGCACAAATGAGAATCTGCCCAAAGCTGCGGCTGTGGGTGTGCGGGATTGAGACTTCTCATGCACCACAGCCCGGAGCCTCAACCAGGAAAGCTGGTGACAAGTGACAAGACGAGAGTCACACATGCTGCTTGGTCTTGCGGTGGGAGAACTGTAAAAGTCACACGCACACAATCTTAACAAATGTGTGACGTTGGTAGCGCAATACGTTGCAAGTTGCAAGAATACCTCGTGACAATCCCAAGCACAATGGAGTATTTTCTCAAAAGGTATGGGTAGGGATGTGCGGGCATCAAAGTTGAAGACCCCACAACCTGCGCCTTTTGAATAAACAACCACCCACAGCTTGAACTAGCAAAGCTTGTGATCAGAGACGAGTCATTCATCCTGCTTGGTCTTGAAATAAGGGGACTATGAAGGTCCGGTCTCAGATACCAAATCTTAACAAATCGATGAAGTTGGACGGGCAACACGAAACAGTACCGCGCTCACGTAGGCACAACGGCGAATCTTCTTACAGGTGGGGCAAAAATGTTGATCCGCAATCTTGCATTCTGCGGCAGCCGGATGGGGCTCTTGCGGATCTACTTGAAGACAGTGAGACGGCATCCTTCACTTGCCCTCGTGTAGGCAGAATGTTGCAGTATCTGCACAAAGGACTGTGACTTGCACAGAGGTGGTAGATCTGTATGAGGCAAGCTGTGATGAAAAACACATAGTGTCAGTTGATCTCCGCAGCGACACTGCATATCTCACTCCTCCAACAAAAACATCAAAAGAATAGGC